TAAAAAAAAAGAAGTATCATTTAGTCATGTGCTATATAAAAGTAGGCCATGTGTTTAGAATACCTTGTCCAGCTGTATCTAGTACCTCGAGTATACATGCAAAGCCGTCAATGACTGTTTGCTTTCTATAGGAATCTTCAATTGTAGGATCGTATGTCTATTTATCAGTAAAGTTAAGCTAAAAGGTTGCATATAGATTATATTTCTACATGATAATAGTAGTACCTCTTTACAAAATAAAAAGACGAAGAAGGTCAATAAAAGAGTATCAAAATGAAGACAACACTTACCAACAAAATGGTTTAAGCATAACTATTATGTAATCATATGTTGTTTATCACGTTACTTCATAAAACGTTTATGTTGCATATCTGCCCTACCTGTATAGTCAAGGCTGTCTATTGACGCATGAATAAAGGGTCTAATGCAATGATACATTTTTACAATTAGAGTTACCTTGCCAACACCACCGTCTCCAAGGACAACGATTTTAAATACAATCATACAAGAAAGAATAGAACGAATAAGAAAAAGTTTTAAAATAGACTTTTTTAAACAACAGGATTTATAAAATTTGTTCTTGTTTGTTAGTTTAGCAGATTTGTGAGACAATTCCTTTATTTTTCTTAAAGTTCATTATTCTTTTATAAAAAGACTTTTTTCAGAAATTGGTTGATGTGTGGCATCATAATGGTCTAAACCCAAGGCTTCATCTTTGGTGAAATGATGCTCACTTAATTTATAGTCATCTATATATGTGTATATAGGATGAGTCAAGAGGTACTCTATTCTTTTTTTTCTTACCGTCTGTGATGCACGATATGAATTTTGATACAATGTTTACTTTAACTTTACTCCAGTCCTTATCTCCTAAGCCGGTCCTACGCTGTAAACGCCGTTTGGTATCCTTGAATAATTCATCCTAATGATCAATTCAGCCAATAGTTCAAAAATCAAGTGGTCATCTTTTGTATACCTTTATGATCAGAAATTTAAACGGAATAGAATGTGTCCTTGCTAAATCACGCTGGTAATGGTATACATCAATATAGAAATCTTCTTCAGCCTTTTCTAATTCTTCTTTAGGGATAGCCTGTGGGAGAAAAAGACAAAATATGAGCGGGATAAATCAATAAGCTCATGTTGTTTACCTCTACATAAATAGGAATTTCATCCGTTGCAATTTTGTTATAATCTAACTCTCCTTTAAACTTGTGATTTTCAACTTGAAAGAAACGGATCTCTTCTTCATCTGCTATATTGAATTTATCACGTATATCATTTACCAGGTCTATCAACTGTGCATTCTTTTTTACAATGACTTCATAGGAAGTAACTTGACTTAACGTCGGATAGCAGACATTCAACTTTACAATCTTGTTCTTGGCAAATTCTGAAAGACTCATTGAGAGCACTTCAAAGAATAATCTTGGTGGGTCACCTGCACAAGGTGGCATTGTCTGTATAATATCCCAGAGTGTCAAATTCTCCATAGGCTTGACTGTCGATTTGGGGTTTCCGTAAAAGTCCGGGGTCATCAGTCTGATGTGTGAAGGATCGCAATCGATAGCCTCAGCTAGTCTAAAGACGAGTTCTTCATAACCCATATCCGTTCGGAGCACCAAATCGAAGTCATCTGCATGATTATGTCTAGGCACAAACGTGACCATGATTCGGTGCTGCAGCGAAATCAGATAATCAGCAGCATTCGTGCAAGCATATCTGTCCTTCAGCACTTGGTTCCTTAAAAGTGTTTTAGTTACATATTTCCCTTCCTCTTTTATAGTTATAAGGGCTTTTTTTTTTACTGTTCAGGTGTCAACTCTCTTTCGACACAAAAGATGTCTCCATTCTCTATGCGACGTTCACTAAATGTTTCACTCTTCTCCACGTATTCAATTGTTTCATTGTCAATTTCCTATTATAGTGTTAACTCACACTCTGGAGTTGAAGCTAGGATTACCTCATAGATGTTCAAAGGCGTTCCTTCCGAAAAGCCACACATTCTATTGACTTCATCCTCTATGGAAGAGATCGGGTCATCGACATGAACGTACAGCTTTCCTATGCCCCTATGTTTGGGGAATGAGTCCTCATATTCATATGACCTTCTTTTCCCTTACCTAATTCTTTGAGAATTATGATCAAATAACTTTATGAAAATCAGGTTGTATTCCGTTCTGACATCAGGGAATGATGGAAAACCAGTAACAGGATCAGACAGAGCCCCTTCGATATACAGTCTCACGTACGGATAGTCCGGGTGGTGTGCTTGTCGAATTTCCTCCAATGCTTATTGTTGAGTTAGTAATCGCATACAAATTTTCAAGATACTTACTCATGTTTTGTTCTTCTTCAGTGGGTAATATACCAAGACGCACCGTCTGACCATCACGGTTCAAGAGGATCCAAAATCGGAAGAAGTCGCTGCTGGTATTGTATTCTTTGACTGTTTCTTCAAGGAACATCTTCAATGTAATATCCTTTCGAACAGTGCGAATGACAATAGGAGGCTGATTTTCCTTGTCTTCTTGGTCTCCTTGTACAAAATCTTGTCCCATGTTCATCTGAAAGCTCTTGTCACTTACAAGATATACCTTTGTGTACAGGTGCTGTTCTGCTCTTTGTTTGTTGATTCTCTCAATCTCTGCTTGCTCTCTTTTAAAACGCTCGACTATAACAAGATGAATAAGATGCTTTGGTTTGCACAAGCTCATATGTACCTAGATGCTCAGGTATATCATTTATAGTAACTTCTCTTAGTATTTCATCTTGCATTGATTCACGTATATAAACGAGCATATATGCATTAGTTGATCGCTTCATGTTGCGTAGTTTAGGATGTGTATTGAGTGCTTCTCCACCATAATTATCTTCCAACACCTCTTTTAGTGTAGCAGGCGTGACTCGATCATCATCAAATTTAAACCTAGAAAAAACACATGAATTTCTCTTGCTAAAATGCAACATCTTAATTTACCATTTCTCTTCTTTTGTAGGCCTGACAAAAGCAAAGTAATGACCGCCGCCCGTATCTCCTGTATGGACCAAGACACTATGGGATTTTCAGTTAGTTCTCAATACAATTTCACACGTTCGTTCTTATTTACCCGTGTAATACATATTGATGTGATGTCGATTTGTCAGCGTTCTCTGAGAGATAAGGTTCTAGATCAATCGTGGGAGGAAACTCATGTCTATCATTAATCTTTATCATTGTGTCTCTCAACATGTCGTACTCGAAACGCTTTAGTTGTAAGTGAAGTACAGGCGGAAAGCTTTCAAAGATGACACCTTTCTTTGCATCTTGTAATCCATGCCCTTCTGCCATATACTTATTGTCGCCTTCTAGTGTTTCAACTTCAATATAGTTATTGAACGATTCTTTCAAGTCCTTGCAACCCTTTACGTTCAGCTGGATATCTATGAATTGAGTGAGTTATCAACTCAAGCTTGAAAGCACAGCGCTTACCATAATAATCTTCAGTTCGCGAAGATTCGTATTCTACATTGATGCATTTCACATAACTTTTCATTTTTCCAACAAACAGCTTCTTAATGGACCCATCTGCAGGCGTGCCCTTCATTTTTCTCTCCAAGTTTTCCTGCAGCAGACGATTAAATTCTTGTACATCACGCTGCATAAAAGCATCCACTGTATTCCAGCCAAATGATCTTGTCAGTTCTGTTGTGGCTATATAAAAAATAAGGATCAATATAAGACTCTGTTTGATGCTGTTATGTGCTTATTTACAGACTGCATAGTTGCAAAATTGTAAGTTAAAAAAGAGTCTCTGCAGTGCAAGGGCGATACTATCACTAGGTTCGTCATTCACTGTCGGAATTTGATAGACAGCAAGTCTAAAATAGTTGGTAAAATAAAGTGATTGAAACAGTGAATTCATATAACAAGTGGCGCCTTGGTTATAGAGCCCAACGTAACCCGTCATCTTTTTGGAATCATAACTAATACAGATGAGTGTTTGTATGCTTATAAAGTATAAGCTTACTTTATAAAGTTATGCCACAATACACCAGTTGGGTCTTTTATCAATCGAACAATGGCTGTCAAAACGACTGTATCATCGACCAAGAATGGTGGTTTATCGTTACTTCCTTCAATAAGTTCTTTGTGGTTGATGTATTGCGTGAATCCCCAGTCTGCCTCATATTTGTTGAACCTATGCTGCGCCGCTACACACATATACACAAATTAAAATAGGGAACCATTTTTGTATATATTCATTTTACCATGAGTAGCGTAATGAGTTGGGTCATTAGGATCAGATATACATATTAAAAACTGAGCACACGCATGAAAGTCTTCGTCTTGTTTGTGCTGTTCTTCATGTAAAGAAGCGAGTTCCAAATAAATAGATACGACGTCATTTTGATTATTGCCTTTTGGAAACAACAACAAGTCCCTGATATAAAATATGAGCACACACTTGCATAAATCGCACATGTCTCTCTCTTTTTTTTTTTTACCATTTAAGATCTTCTGTTTCAAATGTTGGCCCTCGAACGCGTCCTTCAAGTGTACTAAAGTTTGTGATTTTCCAAGTAGAACAATAAGTGCCCAAGACTTCTTCTTGAGTGAAAGGCATGCACTGATCAGCGATTGCCTGAACTATAAACATGTTAGCATCTCTTTATTTATAGTGATCATTGTCATGGTTGTTTACAATCTTCTGGTAAAGCATATTTTGGAGGTGAAATCTCGGTTTTTAACTTTGAATTCATTTTTTTTTCTAATCTTGGCTGCAGAAGAGAGAGACACGTAAA